GAACATTATGACAGGAGGGCATGTTGGAGCTAGTGGTCACATCATATGACAGAAAGCAGGAAAAGTATATGAAGTTTCACAGTCCCCAATGACCTAAGTACCTGCCACTAGGATTGCATTCCCAATGCAGCCACCCTGGGGACCAAACTCTTACATTGAGTTTTAATGACCTTTGGGGGACATGATCATATTCAAACCATAGCAGTTATCATTGGGAGGAAGTAGGTAATGGATACAAGGGATCACTCAGTATTATTTCTTACAACTGCATTTGAATCTAGTTATCTCAAAAAAATTAGCTTTTGTTAAAATGGCATTATTTCAAAACAGTTTCTTTTTAATGGTATTTGCCACCAGGTTTTAAACATTTCTAATTTCCTTGATGGCAAGTGATAAAAGAGGTAGGAAAATTCATCTCCCTGATAGTGGTGGTGTACTCCTGCAATTCCAGCTACTTGGGAGGCTAAGGCAGGAGGACTCCAAGTTTACCGCCAGCCTGGGGGCAACTCGGAGAGATCCTATCTCAAAATAAAATTTAAAAGGGGAATCCAAGTCAGGGGTAGAGCACTTGCCTAGTATGTGATGTCCTGGGTTCAATCCCAAGTACTATCAAAAAAAGGGGGGGCCTAGAAAATTCATCTCTAATAGCTTAACTTGGAAGCAGTTACCAAGTGCTTGTCATATGCAACTAGGAAACAGGCAAAGATGCAGAAAACAATGTAGAATATATGTTTGTAGTGAGGTTGACCAAGAACTATACTATTAAACTCAAAACATTTTACATCATGTTCCATTATGTCTGCCCTGTAATCATAACTATTTCTAATCAAGAATACAGGAAGGGCCTGACCAGTGGATGACAAACTGTGGATAAGCAATTCTATAGGGAGTTTTCTTTCCTTCCTTACCCCCAGCCAGCCTAGGAAACTTCCCTACCAGAATCTCCCACTAGAGTTTTCTCCCTATCTCTCCTCAATCATCCTACCACCCACCCCCGTTGCCTGGGTAGAAGGGAGGGAAAAATGACACATGGGGCACGCCACCCACACACCCACATTCACTCTCATCTCATGCCCCTTGCTGCAATTCCTCTAAAGAAGAGGGTATAAATGGCAAAGAGGGCACTGCCCAGCCTCTTCTTGCCCCATCACTTTCAGCCCTGACCTCCCTCAGCCGTCACACAACCCTCCACTCCATCCATCTCTCCCCTCTGTAGTCCCAGAAGCATTTCCTGAAGCCTCCTCCCATCTTTGCTGAAGCCCTGCCACAGGAATCACATTCCAAGAATAGGAAAACACATACAGAATGAACATAATTCATCAATTATGAATGCATTTCCTTCCAGTGAATCTCTCTAGTAACTTCTAAATAATCCAATTACTTTTAGAAATTAGAGGTTTAGTTTATACCAAGACACCTAATATTAAACTATTATTCACCCATGGGGCAAGAACCACTTGCACCTGTTAATATATCTTACCTATCAAGCTGAAAGCCAGCAAGTGAAGTCTATGGGCGGTCAAAATGGTATCCCACAGATGCAAAAGCAAGGTACAACAATGACAATAGCCTCTCTATGGCTGGCTAGGTTAATTTGGCTGTCAAGTTGGCTGGGCAGGTTGCCCATCTTCCTTTAACCCTCCAGGCACTCTGCTTCCAAAGCTGGACTGCTACAAAGAGATCATGGGACCTTGCAACAGAGTTCATCTGCTTTATTCAAGCCCACAGTTTCACATTTGTTTCTAACAAATTTAGTTGGTTTCCAAGTTCATAGCTAATCAGAAGGGACAAATCTTCAGAGAGAGAAAAGCACTTCATTCATCCAACAATCATGTTGAGTACCTAAGCACCAGGCACTTGAAGATAAGGCAGTGGCCAATACACAGTGACCCCTATCTTCCCTAGTTTATGTAGGGGAGAAAACTTAGAAGTAGAAAATTAAAATAATTATAAATAAAATAATCACAACATGTGTTAGTTGCTCATAGAGACATAAACAGAGTTGAGGATCTTATACTCTCCCCATCTATCCCACACTAGAGCCTGAATCCAGTACCAATGAGCTACATTTCCAGCCCTTTTTATTTTTTATTTTGAGACAGGCTCTCATTAAACTGTTGAGACTGGCCTCAAATTTTCAATCCTCCTGCCTTATAGCCTCCTGGGTAGCTGTGGAGATCTTGCAACTTCTCAGGATTATGAAGAGTAATGATCCTTTCAAGGCCTATAGAAATGCAGAATTAAAAACTCACACAATCCATTGACCTCAAATATACCCTAAAATTTATATTTAAAAATGAAATCCAATGTGTATGTAAGGGAGAAACCAGGGCTCAGCCCTACACGTGCTGCCAGGGCTGTTAGATATCCAACACAAGTATCTGAACCCCCAGGACACAGGATGCATGCCTTATTTTAGGTAACTTAGCCAATCCATCTAGCTTGTTTTTACTATTTATGAACTGAAAACAGAAGCCATCAGACTTCTTGAGCCTCATGAATGGAATAATATGCATGGTTGAGTTTTATAAACAGCACAGTTCGAATGCTGCTGTTGTTGCTAATGTTGCTAAAAGGTTGATAAACATCCTGCTTAACACCCACCCAGACTCCAAAAAATGAAATCCCAGGTGGCAGCTTGAATGCCATCCCTATTTCCTAGAATATAAGAACCAACTAAAGGGCTTAAGGTGGAATTTCCCTAGACAGAAGTAACAAAAATAATCACTGAGAAGTGAGGAAAGGAAGCAGAAAGTATGCTAAAAGAACACCTCCAGTTACTTTGAAATTTGGCCTACGATGCACGCTGCAATAAGCAAAAGCACTCTTCCTTTTCCTAGTCAAGGTCACTTAGCATCCTCCTCCCTGGGATCTACAACCCTTACTCATTTCATACTTCATTTACTTTAAATAACTTTTGTAGAATTAACAGGGAAGCTCAAAACCACAAAGTGGAAAAAAATAATTCTTTTGGAAGGGTGAAATGCATTCCAAACAAGCAACAACAATCAACCCTACTCGAACTGGAGACTGTATATTTAACGTCAACACTCTCACTAGCCTTGCTTTGACTGGAGTCAAATGTAGATCAATCACACCACTGATCTTGGAAAAATGATAAGAAAAACGAACTATCCAAGATTATCTAACATTTTCAATCTGCCACAGTATTCACCTAGGCCTCAATAGGGAAAAGAAGTTTTGAAGAATCACTGTGAACGAAGCCTGCATTTCTTACAGTTGGAATAAAATTTTCCCAAATTCAACCCCAAGGTTCTTGTTAATTTAGTTTTGCTTTCTCAAACAATATTATTCATAGACTAACAGCTCTGGGTTTGTTCCCTACAATTAAAGTTCCACTTCTTCCCATTTATAAAGCCTGACCTACATTAAGTTATGAAGTGACATCTAAAAGCTTCTACCTGGCCTTCCTTTCTGAACACATACAGCTGTAAATGGGGGGGGGGGGTGGTAAAAAAAGGTAGAGATCTGTAGCCCTCTTGTCACACATCAGGAATTGCAGAGAAATAATAATAATTATTATTATTACTATTGGTACTGGGAATTGAAACCCGAGACACTTAACCTCTGAGTCATGTCCCCATCCCTTTTTGAGACAGGGTTTCACTAAGTTTCACAGGGTCTCACCAAGTAAGTTGCTGAGGATGGTCTCAAACTTGTAATCCTCCTATCCTGCCTCAGCCTCTCCAGTCACTGGGATGACAGGCATAGACCCTGTGCCCAGTCATTTCTTTTTCTTATATGCAGTGCTAGAAGCAATGAGGGGGGAGGCACCACCTTAATCCCTGGTATCTGATCAGGTTCCTCCGCCTCAGCCACCTGCCAGGTGATGCCTCTGGTGGCTCTGACCTGCCTTTGACAGAGAATTCTAAACCTATTCTCAGAATGATCTCTTTATTAATGATCTCCAAGGCATTTTCCATCATTTCCCTTCCTTCACCAACTCCCTTTTAACCACTGCCTGAAAATTCTTCCCTTAGCCTCCAAAGCATCAACCCTCAAACTACTCTATCCACCAGTGCCTCTCCTCTGTTCCCACTAAGATCAGCCTCTGTACCCACCTTGCAAAGATGGATCCCTGTCTCATTCATCATCTCTGCTCAAAACCCTCTGATTACTTGTCATCTCCATCAGGATGAAAGTCCAATGTAGAATGGCCAACCTCTGCATCATCTAGCTGGTCTGCCACCTCCCCAGCCTCATGCCTTTCTACTCTCCTCCTTTATATCCTGCCCACATTTTGTTTTGCACTTGTTCTCTGCCAGAACGTTCCCTCCCCTCCTGTGGGACTTGCTCAAATATCAATTTCCCTACACCCTGCCTCCAACTTAAAATGTCCAACTCTATGTCCCTAAAAACTCTCTATATAATTTATTGCATTACTAACCCACTGTAAGTTCCATGATTCCAGGGATTCATCTGTTTTGCACAGTGATGTTTCCACCAGGTCTAGTACAGTGCAAGTTAGCTGACAAAGGTTCGACAAAAATCCGGGATGAAAAGTCACTTAATAAAGGTTTGCTGAGCACCTGTTCCTGTCCAAGTCCACTAAGACAAACCACTGTCCCTGCCTTTAACGCCCCAGATGAAGCATGGCACCACAAACGTGTTTAAAATCAGGATTTCAAACTAACAGGTCAAAGAACGTGCCAAAGTTCAGAGGAAGAGTCCTGGGCTTAGCCTTTCTGGGACCAGTCCAGTTTGCTACCATCACACAGTTCACCAGGGGCCATTTCCGGAGGATCAGCCCTGGGAGCAGCGGGTCCCACTTGCAATCCCCAGGCCTGAGAAGTTACTTATTCGGATTGGCAACTTCCGGCCTCTTGGCGCCGGGCATGATTTTAAAACCCTTAAGGCGTCTGCCCTCGGGCCTCAGCCTCCTCCCCCTTAGACCCGTATGCAGCCCCCAACATCTGTTGGGAGCGCAACCCGGCTGCGGACCTATAACCCCGCACACCCACTGCTTCGGCGTTCCCCACCTGCTCCCGACGTCCCCTGCGGCTTGCCCTGCGCGTGCGCAATCTGCCTTTCGTGAGCTTGGGCGGAGCTGGCGGGGAGATGAACCTAAACACGCCCCCGACGTAGAAGCCGCTTCTGATTGGCTGTTGATGCTCGCCCGAGCGAGACTGGGACTCCCGGGGCTGTGCATTTAAAGGCGCTGGCCAGTCCGCTGTTAGCTGTCGCTTCCTGCTCTTGCCGCTTCCACTCCGAGGAATCCTTGTAACCCCGCCAGCATGTCTCAGGTACAGCGCGTGCCCTGCCAAACTGCGAAGGTGGAGCGGGGCGGGAGGCCAGAGTGGGGATCTCGTCTGGCTGGCAGAACTCCGCGGAGTCCTTCCCACGGATGCCCTGCTATTGCTCCTGGACCCATCCATGCCCAGCCCTAATTCTTTGCACCGAGCCTTGTAAGCGGAACTTTCCGTTTGTGGATTTCTAAAACAGCTACCCACTCCGCAACTGCTGGAAAGTTGCCCATGGAGTGGACTTCGTGGCGAAGCAGGCTAGAGTGGGAGGCTAGGGTCCTCAATAGAAAGATGGGGTGATTGACGGGACGGTGATTGCATGTACTGAAAGAGCAAGGAGACTGAGCCCCACACTTGGAAGGATCTGGCGGGACTTGGCGGTGGGGGAGCGAAGTCACGGCCAGGTGGGAAGGCAAAGAGACCGTAGCTGGGTAGTGGAGGTCAGGAGAAGTAAGAGCTAAGTCTGGCGTGCGGGGAGAGGAGAGTGGCTGATCAGGTAGAAGTGACCTAGAGGCCTTTCCCTGCCCTCTAATGTAGACCCTTGTCCAGCACCGAGCTATGTGGGGCGATCTCTGGCTCCTCCCACCTGCCTCTCCCCACTCCGGGCACTGGGACAGAGGTCAGCGCTGAACTCCCAGGCCCCATGGGAAAAGGGGCCAGCGGACTCCTGCTGGAGAACACTGTATTTGTGTCCTGTTCCTTTATCAGATGTTTCGAGCACAGTGTGCCACCCCTCTCCTTAGGTTAGGGCTTCACTGGGACCTCAGCCATTCCCTAGTCTGGCCCAGTGGTGGCCAGGCAGTTGGCCGTGCTACTTTTCCGCAGTGTCCACCCACTGTAGGCCAAGTCTTGTCCTGCTTCTCTCACCACTGTATTTCCAACACCTGATGTTTCTGTTGTAGGAGCACCAGAAAGTAGTTGTAGGTTGAATAAGTGAACTAATGCACCTCCCCTCTTTATTTTACTGAATCCGTAGTGGGGAAGGGAGACACTCTTGAGGGGTGCTGCTTTTCCTGTCCTGCATGGCACTAGGAATGCTGCCTTTCCATCCTCTCATCCTGTCCCTGGGCTCCATTCAGGCCACTTTCTGCCCTATCCCACTTGGAATCCACTCTCATTCCTCTCCCCTCCCTCCCACTTAGGCTGAGTTTGACAAAGCTGCTGAGGAGGTTAAGCACCTCAAGACCCAGCCAGCAGATGATGAGATGCTGTTCATCTACAGCCACTACAAACAAGCAACTGTGGGCGACATAAATACAGGTATGCTGAACTGCTCATCAAAGCAGGGGCTTGCCAGTGGCTGGGAGTCCTTAATTGGAAGTCTGTGGGAACTTCACTTTCAAACTACCAGAGGCTCTATTCTTCAGGCATGGCATGGTCACAGTTCTTGGGGTTTAAGCTAGGGAATTTCCCCAAAGACCATATTCCTGGATCGTCAGTGACTCAGGTAGCAGAATTCCAATCCTGGTTTTAGAAGGGCTTATCTAATTATCACCAGAAGTTTCCATCTACTGGGGAGGAAATAAAACCCCAGGAAAAGAGCTCTGTTCCAGGCTTTCAGCTCAGAATTAGCTTTGTTGAGCAGTATTGCTTCCACCCTGCGTGGACAGTCCTCCCACCAAGCCTTATGGAGAAGCAGAGAAGCACCTGGTGTCTTGGGACAGTCAGGAATGTTTTTGTGAACTACAGTCTGTACCTTCCTGATGATTTCTGTTCCCTATCCAAAAATCTTGTTGCAGATTTTGAAGCTATCATCTACAATGTTATCTTTCCTGACTTGGGCAGTTTTTAGACAAACTAAGTTCCTGAATTAAAACTGTACAGTGAGGTGAGAGCTTAATGCATTCCATGCAGGGACTCAAAAGTCAGTGGTCATGTCAGCATCAAAGGAGTGACCCTCGAGCCTTCAAGAGGAGGGGAACCATAGCCCCAGTTCCTCAGGAGCTAGGGTGGAGGGTGGAGCTGGTAGGCTGGCAGCTGGCCAGCTGCAGCAATGCCCAGAACTAAGGATCTTGGGCAATGCCAAATGAGACTCTATGGTTCACATCAAGGGCTTAGTTAAGGAAGGTCTTGTAGCAAAGATGAGTTTTACAGTAGGTGTATAAATTATCTCTTCCCAAATAGGGAAAAGAGAGTGGAGTGGGTGTGGCCAGAGGGGCTGAGATGCTTTTCTGTCACATAGTGTTTTCACAGAGCATGGCCTCTGTTTGAGCTAAAGGGACTTGCTCTCATATAAACGTAGGTAGATGGACATGGAGTCTATCACTGCCTGATTGGAGATATTGGCTCTCTCTAGAGCTGTACTTTTCATACAGTAGCCACTAGCCACTGATGACTATTTACATTAGAACTGAAAATAGTTAAATAGTATCTAAAGTTCAGGTGCTAGCTACATGAGCTCTTTTTCTGGGAAACTTAGTTGCCACAAGTGGCAAATGATCCTGAATTGGATATTGCAAATATACATGCCCACAGTGGATAGAGGGCCCCCAGTGGATAGAGGGCTCAGTGAGTGCTGCTTGGGATTCTGGTGATTACTATTGACTGGGTATAGTCTTCTTAGGTCCCCCGAGGAATGCTGCCTTGAAAGCACTCAGGAGCACTTGCTATTTTCTTCAACACAGTGTTCCAGGTTATGGACACTGCAGTCATTCCTCTTAGCAGTGAAATAGATCATTGGGGAGGAAAGGGAATGTTTCCCAACTACAGATGATTACCCATCTGGAAATAGTCTAACAACTTGCTAGAACAATGGGACCAGGATATGAACAGACAGTTCACATGCAAGAATACCCAGAAGACTGATAACAATGATGCGTTAGGGAGAGAAATTGGGTGACGGAAAGCAGAAGTAGGAGGAACTTTGATACTGCTAACCTTTGTAGCTTTGAATTCTGAGCCATGTGCATAGATCTTTAATTTTTTAAGTGATTTTTTTTTTAAAAGGATAGAATTTGAAGGTAACTTGCAATTCAGAAACTCTCCTGTAATGAGAACAGTTTCCCTTCTGTTTTCTCTAGATTCTTAAGTTTGGATTTCTGTATACCTGGATCTGTTAAGGCAGAAGCCACTGTGCAAGACTCATTAAATTCCATGAGAGAACCTAGAAGGAATCAGTTTAATAAAAGATGACTTTCATGGAAAGAAAGTTGATGAAGTTCAATGTTAGAACTTGAGCAAATCTAATAATGTATTCCCTTGCCTTCTTTAAGAACGGCCCGGAATATTGGACTTCAAAGGCAAGGCCAAGTGGGATGCCTGGAATCAGCTGAAAGGTAACTATTTCAAATCAGTTTCCCTCTTTTGTGAAGCCCAGTAATGAAAGACTCTTCATTGTAGAGTACACACGGGCAGGAAGGAAACAAAGTAAAGGAGGCACACACTTCAGATAGAGCCCTAATATCCAGAGTATACAAAGAACTCAAAAAATTAGACAATAAGAGAACAAACAACCCAATCAACAAATGGGCCAAGGACCTGAACAGACACTTCTCAGAGGAGGACATACAGTCAATCAACAAGTACATGAAAAAATGCTCACCATCTCTAGCTGTCAGAGAAATGCAAATCAAAACCACCCTAAGATACCATCTCACTCCAGTAAGATTGGCAGCCATTAGGAAGTCAAACAACAACAAGTGCTGGCGAGGATGTGGGGAAAAGGGTACACTTGTACATTGCTGGTGGGACTGCAAATTGGTGCAGCCAATTTGGAAAGCAGTATGGAGATTTCTTGGAAAGCTGGGAATGGAGCCACCATTTGACCCAGCTATTCCCCTTCTTGGTCTATTCCCTAAAGACCTAAAAAGAGCATGCTACAGGGACACTGCTACATCGATGTTCATAGCAGCACAGTTCACAATAGCAAGACTGTGGAACCAACCTAGATGCCCTTCAATAGACGAATGGATAAAAAAAATGTGGCATTTATACACAATGGAGTATTACTCTGCATTAAAAAATGACAAAATCATAGAATTTGCAGGGAAATGGATGGCATTAGAGCAGATTATGCTAAGTGAAGCTAGCCAATCCCTGAAAAACAAATGCCAAATGTCTTCTTTGATATAAGGAGAGTAACTAAGAACAGAGTAGGGACGAAGAGCATGAGAAGAAGATTAACATTTAACAGGGATGAGAGGTGGGAGGGAAAGGGAGAGAGAAGGGAAATTGCTTGGAAATGGAAGGAGACCCTCAGGGTTATACAGTGGAGGGGGTAGAGAGAGAGGAGGGGAGGGGAGGGGAGAGGTGGGGAGGGGGGAGGGTGGAGGATGGGAAAGGCAGCAGAGCACAACAGACACTAGTATGGCAATATGTAAATCAATGGATGTGTAACTGATGTGATTCTGCAATCTGTATGGGGTGAAGGTGGGAGTTCATAACCCACTTGAATCAAAGTGTGGAATATGATATGTCAAGAAATTTGTAATGTTTTGAACAACCAACAATAAAAATTTAAAAAATAAATAAATAAATAAAATAAATTTTAAAAAAAAAAACTAAAAAACAAAGTAAAGGAGGCACATGCTGGAAATCAGCCTGACCTGAGCCCAAGTGGGGAAAACTAGGCCACCTACTTTCTCTCCAGATATTCTTCATGCCTTTTCTAAAAGTGCCATCTCTGCAAAAGGGTATCATCTGGAGGGGAAGGGCTAGGGGTCTAGGCCAGTGAGAATGGGCTGGGAGGTAATGTCTTTGGATACGTTTGGAATAAGGGTGGATTCCACACCCCCCTCTCCACAGGAAGGCCAAGCAGTGACCCCTTAGCTGGAATGGCCCTCCCCAGTTCCCTTCCAGCCAGAAAGGCACATGAAAAAAGGGATGAGGTAATGCCTGGCCAGCCACTGGTAGGCTCAGTGAATGAAACTATTATTCGCTGAGCCCCAACAGCCGAAAAGTATCCAAGTTTCTATTGAATCATGTGTCCCCGTGGCAGCAAGACCCAAAGTTGGCATCAAAGCTCCTGGCAGCTTTTGTGTCCTCACTAGCTAGTTGCTGAATAAGCCTGCTGTCTTCCTGCAAATGAGAAGTCCATGAATTCAGAAAAGACCACAATACAATAAATATACTCCTAGGATTTGCAAGCGGGGTTGGGGGGGGGGGGGGCGATGCCGGTCTAATTGTTCATTTTCATCAGGCACTTCAGAATAAGTCCCAGAGGGCCTCTCTTTTTACCAGAGAATCCCAGGGAACTGGGTGTGACTGTCTTAGAAGATATATTCAGTGTCTTTTATGCTGCAGCAGGGAAAAGAAAGCTTTGCCTCATTCCCCTCCAAGAATCAGCTGCCTTTGCTCAGACTCTCAAACCTCTTCTAGCTTCTCTCTGGTAAGAAGAGTGTGGCTAGCTTTGCTCTTTTGCTGCCAGCTTAGTAGCTCTAGGAGATAAGAGCCCAACACAGAAATATTTGATTGAATAAAGCCAAGCATGAAATCATCAGGACAAGTAAAGTCACCATGGTGACAGTTGCGTGCTTGACTTGGAAGGCTAAGTCTCACCCTGTCATGGGAGACCCATGGGGGACAAGCATTGGATCTGCCCCTCCATGCATGATGAGTTCAGTGTGTTACAGAGTATAACTCAGGGCCACAATTATCAGGTGTTTTTAAGTCTAATTATCAGCAGATTTCTGAGATGTGGGTAACCCCCCTCCACATGGAGGAGAAACTCAGCCCTGGAAAATTCAACTGGAGCTGATGAGGGCCTTAAAACCTGCTGCTTTTCTACCACACTGCCTCCCTGACAAATAATCCTGTTGATTCCTTCTAGGAACTTCCAAGGAAAGTGCCATGAAAGCTTACGTCGACAAAGTAGAAGAGCTAAAGAAGAAATATGGGATGTAAGAGACTGGATTTGGTTGCCAGCCACACATTGAACCTAAAATGATATAATGCCTTTTTTTCTTCTAATACCATGAATGATGTGAAGAGTGAAAATAATCAGTTAACCCAGTTTATCAAGGCGTCCCAGCATGTGGCTCTAACAAATTAGGGGCAGAATTGATGACTGACCCTCCCTGAATAGTTTTTATCTGAGATTATTAAAAGTATGTTTGTTACTTGAAGCCTTCGGTAATCTGGATTCTTGAAATGATTCCCCCTGTTCCCATCTCTCATCCTCACCTCCTTTTTCTAAAGACGTTCTCTGGCAGTACTTCCACCTGCCTTCCTCTGTATCCTGGTGGTCTCACATGTTCCCAGGCCCCTGGTGGACTCAGCCTTGGTGGCAAGGAAAAGGGTTATAGAAGTGGCTTCTTCTGTACTGAGGAAGATTGGGTGGGCTAGCTGAGACTTCCGTTTGCAGATACTTCCTGCCATCTGTCAGGACATGGCTGGCCTCAGGTTTGGAGGGGAGTAGGGTTGAAAAGTTTTGAAGTTTTGTCCAAGGGCCAACCAGTCCATGGATCCAAATAAACAAAGAGAGTGGGGAGCCCCTATCAGGAAGAGGGTGCACATCTGGCATGAGGCTTCCCCAGGTAAAGTTCCTAAGGAAGCTTGGCCACCAGCTGGAGTGGGAGTGAGTTTGATCAGTGAGCCAAAGAATTCCTCAGCAGGGAGATGGGGGAGCAGGACTCCAGGAGGCTGCAGACAAGAAATGCTGGAGTTTGGAGGACTTTAGTTATTGGAAAGGAAGGAGGAAGAAAAAGAGTGGACAAGATCAAAATTGCCAGATGTTTCCCTTCCATCAATTCTGCAGTCCCACAGGAGTCATGGTTTTCTTGTTTTGCAGGTGAAGATACTGAAGCTAAAAAGAATTCGGTAGATACTGAGGCCAGATAGCTCTCAGGCTTCTTCCATCCATAGACTAGGCTCTGATCTTAGACAGTAGTTCAGCCTCACCCTCAGAAGAACAGTGGGCCTGAGAATAACTTGCCCACCATCCTGCTACTGGTAAAGGAACTAAGAACCAACTTTCAAATGCAGATCACCCTGGTTCCCAGCCTGAACCTCCAGAAAGGAAGGAACACAGGGGACAGCTACTTGGGGTGGCTGAGTTTGGCACACCCTCTGTAAAATAGGACTAGGGAGAGAAGGGGCTTGCAAGTATGGAATTTGATCCTAGGCCATGGGGAGTGCCCAGGAGCAGTTATGATAAAAGGTGATCTGAGTAAATCAATAGCCGTCAAGAATTAGCACCCCCAGTTCTGGCCCAGCCACTGAGGTGCAGATGGGAAGTTGCTCCAAGAAAGCATATGAGCCAAAGTCCAAAACCCACCTATGCATCCAAAGCAGGGAACTTACTGAATGGCAGCGACATTTGCACCTGCCTCCACACTCCAGTGAGACTGCTAATGCAACCAAACTCAGGCACGTCCATGAGATCCTAGGGAAGCAATGGGGAGCCACAGCCACCAAATAACATGAACCATGTTTGGATCATTTCCTTGGCTCAGTTATTGTCTCAAGAATAAATCAAAAGAACCCAGTGTAGTGGCACACATCTGCAGTTCCAACTACTTGGGAGGCTAAGGAGAGAGGATCACTTGAGACCAAGTTCAAGATCAGACCAGGCAATAGGAGATGGCAAAACCTCATCTCAAAAAATAAATAAGTAAAAAAAAAAAAAAAACTGAGGGAAATCTCACCAGCTGGGAATGTGCTCAACATGCACAAGGCTCCAGGTCTTATTTCCAGGCCAAAAAAAAAAAAAAGTTAAAGGAGAAACAGCCTTAAATGGAGTGCAGGCTGTTGTTCTTGTCCAGCCAGATCTGGCTCCAGGCTCAGTCCAGGCACAGCTGTCCAGAGTGGTGAGGGTTTGGTGGGTTAGTATGAGAAGCTTCTGGCATGGAGTGTGCACCCAAAGCATGGCACTTGATAAGGAATCTTGTTCCCATCAGCTTTCAAACCATCTCTAATCCCTGGAAACCTCCCTTGCAATAATTGCATGTATCGAGGACTTAGTCTGTGAGCAAGCATCACTCCACTGATAAAGATGGCGGGGATCAGAAGCACCTGCCTCTTTCTGGCTTGTGCAAGGCAGCTAAGCCAGCAGGCTAGCTCCCAGGCACAAAGTCTGCATGTCAGCACTGACCAGTATCAAAGAAGGGTCTAAGGAAGCCCTCACAAAGATGCCGCAGTTTGGCTCTGTGCAGTTACCCTGTGCTGAGACCATATTTTGACTACTTATTGTTCCCTTTCTTGGGATGGAAATGAAAAGTCTTGGACCCGAGACCCTTTAGGGCCACAGTTGCTGTGGCCTCTGGTTAATGACCATCATTTACTGAGAACCTGCTAGGGCCAGGATCTGACTCCAGTTCTTCAGTTCTTGCATTTAACCCCTCAGTCCTCTGATAGGGGGATTAAGCCTCATAGTCATTTGTTAATTTTTAGTAATATATTCCAAGATGTTGCATGGATGCCTGAAACCACAGATACTACCAAAATCCATATATATATATATATATATATATTTTTTTTTTTTTTTTTTTTTTTAATCTGTGACATACTGTGTAGTCAGTCGGCTTTGTGTCGCTGTCACCAAAATACCTGACAAGAACAACATAAAGGAGGAAAAAGATTTGGGCTCATGGTTTCAGAGGTCTTAGTCCGTGGCTGGCTGACATGGAAGAGCATGGCAAAAGCAAGCTGCTCAGTTCATGGCAACCAGGAAATAGAATCAGAAATATAGTCCAGGCCACACCCCCAGTGACCTACTTCCTCCAGCTAAGCCCTACTTCCCTAAAGTTACCATCCAGCAATCCATTCAAATTATTAATCCATCAAATGGATTAATCCAGTGATGAGGTTATAATTCTCCCAATCCAGTGACTTCACCTCTGAACATTCCTGCATTAACACATGAGCTTTTGTGGGGGGCGGGGGGCACCTCATATCCAAACTATAACATACATATCTCTGCTGGTTTATAAATTAGGCACAGTGAGATATTAACAATAACTGATAAAAATAGAACAATTATAGTGATTTAAGTTATAAACTATTATTTAAGACTTATGACTTGTTTATTATTGAATTTTTCACTCAATATTTGTGGACCATGGTTGACCTCAGGCAACTGACACCACAGAAAGCAAAACCACAGATAATGGGGATTGCCGTGCCCATTATTCAGATGAAAAACTAAGGCTGAGATGATATAAATAGATCCATAACCACGGCTCTTTGATGGGAATGTCCCACATGTCCCTTTTATGTCCCTTCCCATGACCACTCAGCTCTGCAGCTTTGCTGTGTGTCTGATAACAAGAGTAGCATAAGGTGTTCTTGTGAAATCCTGCCCTTGGCTGTGGGACCCATTCCTGAGGAGTGTCTTACAAAACCAGATCACATCTTCAAGCTGGAGTGAGGCCCAGGTGAGCTGTACTTTTAAGAACCTCAGGTGATTCTGGGACTTAAGTCAAGTTAGTGAAGTGCCCCCCCTGCTCACCAGCAAGCCGTCGTACTGGTTTCTCAGAAAGTAAAATCAACGTGGTGTTCTGGGAGTGAGTCAGCTCCAGCCTCTGGGGCTGTTCTGCTTCTGTGGCTACCACAGGCGTCATCCAGAGAGTGCCCCTGGGGAGCTAGTGAGATAGCAGTTGGGGGTTCGGCCATTTTCACTTTCATTGTGACAATCCTCTGTGGCACCTCCATGACATGTCTTACCTCAAATCTGAATTCTTGACAGACTTATGAATCCTACTTCATTCTCAGGTGCTGGATCCTTGTTTTCTTGGAGACTCATTTCCGTCATCTGGAAAATGGGCACAATCTGTACCCCATAGGGCTGACAAAGCAGAAAAAGTGCTTAACACAATGCCTGCCAGCAGCAACCTGAGGTCTTCCTAGCACGCATGCTCACCTCTTTCCCTCCCCACCATCTGGACGAGTCCTGGCCTGGCGCCTCACAGTGCTGCACCTTGCCTCGACAGTGCTCCAGGAATTGATGAGTAAGCCAGGCGGACAAGTGTGGGTCATCCAAGGATGTCCTCCACGCCAAAGTAGTTCCAAGATCCAGAAGAACCAGTTATCTCAAAGGAACATGGAAGAGTCACTGGATTGTAAGTTAGAGGATGTTGGCTCGGCCACTGTCCAAGTTAAATAGACACAGGGAAGCTATGTCACCTCTGTGAGCCTCAGTTTCTTTATCAATAAAACAGGACTGAACAGAAGATATATGTCCCAGGAAAGCCAGAGGAGTGAAAGAGAAGGCCTTTGGGGTGGCTAGCCTGACCACAGCCAGGCTGGGAAGTTGTGAGGGGGCGGCATAAGCAGCCAGATGATTAAAGCTTCTCAAAATTAAATTATAGGCACTTGGGGTGGAGGATGAACCAAGAGAGGTCACCAGCGGGGGCGGCTTTCACAGAGTTGCGCCTTTAAGTCTAAGTTGGGTTAAGATCCTCTTGCCCAGTGGGCAGCACCACGGTAGAGAAGGTCACAATGTTTCTTCCCTTGCTTATTTCTGTGATCCCTGGACCCCAGGGTGTGATGTACCCTTGCCCTGAAAGAGTGTCACACAAACCACTGTGACAGCAGTGCCCTAGGTGGGCCTCTCTGCTCTGCTCCAAGCAGATACTCCTCTGCCTCGCAAGTCCTTGCCTTGGAACAGCCTGATACTTGGGAGACCAGGAGTCAGTCTGCAGCTTTTTCTTATGTTTTGTGATTTTCAATAAGTAGCCTTGTTAAGTAAGGAATGCTCACGAGTCTAGACTGAAAATACTCTCCTTTTTCTGAGGCTAATAAAGATAGCACCATAAAGTGTTTCCAGGGAAATTGCTGAGCATCAAAGACAGAAAAGGACTCTGTACTTAAGGGGGGGGGGGGGTGTGAAGCAGCCTAATGGGGTCGTTGTGAGGTCCCCCGAATACCCTGCTGTGGTGGATGTAATTGTGTACCCCCCTCCCCCGCTGGCAAAAATCATGTCCAAGTCCTAATTCCTGTACTTATAAATATGACCTTACTTGGAAATATAGTGGTCCCCCCTAAACCATGGTGGATATGTTCTAAGACCCCCAGTAGATGGTGCCAAACCCCACAGATACTATGTTTTTTCCTATACATACATATTTGTGATAAACTCACTGATAAATTAGGCATAGAAAGAGATTAATAATAAAGTAGAACAAAT